TTGAAGAATCACAGTCTTTTCCATATGACCCGAAACTTAATTTATAAACCGGTATTCAGAATCTACAGCGGCTAATAATATAATTGAAAAATAGTCTTAATAGTCAAAGTACATCGATCCACTATTTGAAGGCTTTTTTAGTCTAATATGTTTACCATCAACGGCACCAATGCAGTGTGGAAAATTAGCTCTTGATTGAAAACCATTAGATATTTGTTCCCAAGCCGTAGATGTAGATGGTAATTGCATAAATTCGTTATCTAGATGGGTTGTTCCGTTGTGCCGATGCCGCGGCCACCTCTGGGACACATTTTGCATCGAACTTTGGCCATAGATTTAGTGTGTTTTATAATCACTATCGTATCCAAAAAAAAAAACCTTATTACCTATTATTTATTAAATAAAACAATTTAAATTTATTTAATATATTTAGATTAAGAAATGAATTAGAGATAATTAAAAAAAAAAATGAGGAACTTGTCAAAAGAAATGGCGATTTGAAAAAATTAGTTATTGAACAAAATAAATGGATCACTTTGGAGGCATGCAGGTTTGAAAATAAGTTTAAAAACCATTTATCAAACATGTTTTCACCAAAGCAAGCAGAAATGATCTTAAATAAAAAAAAAAGTGGCCAAATGGGAACCAGACGACATTGCATCGGCTATGACTTTGCGAAGTATATCACCTAAGTGCTATAGATATCTAAGAGATAAATTGGAGTTTCCGTTACCACGTATTGTAGGAGTTTCTTGTTTAAATAATTGTGTTCGATGTTAGTGATATAGGTACATATAGATAAATACAAATTTGTTATTTAGTATACCAATTTATTTTTTAAATCATAATAGATTTGTGTAAAATAACTTTCCTTCGAATTTATAAAATACAATTTTTTAAACCAATCTGTGCTAATAATTATAATTTTAGGTTTATCAACATTGAGACAGTGGGCAGGGAAATTTAATATGGACAAAGGTATTTTGAAAGATGTTCTTATGCTTTTGAAAAATATAGGAAAATCTTTATCAGAAATGGACAAAGTGACAGTAATATCATTTGATAAGACTTATGTTTCACAAAAATTGTGCTACGATAAAAAAACGGAACAAGTTTTGGGTCCATTTAAGTGTGTACAAGTAATGATTGCCAGAGGCGTGTGGTTTGAAATTTGAGTATTAACATATCAATTATGACTGTATAATAGTTATTTGTTACTTTCATAGGACTATTTTCCAAATGGAAGCAACCATTATACTATGACTATGATTCACCCATGACTCAATTATTATTGTTCGACGTTATAAGTCAGCTTCATGCCTGTGGTTTTGAGGTAGCAGCTGTTGTTAGTGATATGGGGCCTACAAATATTAGGCTTTGGAAAAGTCTCGGAATAACACCAACAAAGACATCATTTAGTCATCCTATATTTAGAAAACCAATTTATATGTTTTCTGATGTACCACACTTAATGAAATTAGTGAGAAATCATTTCATTGATAGTGGATTTGTTTTGCCAAATAATAAGTACATTGGGAAACAAGTCAGGGGCGTATTTATGGGGGAGGCTGAGTGGGCTGCAGCCCCCCCTGAAATTTCAAGAAAATCCAAAAAATATGAATGTCAATAAAACTTTATTTGTTGGGTAAAAAAGCTTGAAAATTTAATACAAGGCTCCTGCTATATTGTTACAATAGCAGTTGAAAAATATTAAAAATCCTTAGTCATAGTTTTTTTATAAGCATTTAAAGTTCGAATCTTGACAAAATACGGAAAAATCACAAAACTTAAAATTTTGCTGAATGTTTTCATTTTTTTATACACCAAAAAAATTTGAAAATATTTTGCCTCTTTTTGAGCTATTTACGGACATTGACAGTTTTCATTTTTCTTAGTTTTTTTTCTATAAATATCAATAAAAATTTTTTTGTTGGGTAAAAAGCGTGAAAATTTAACGCAAGGCTCCTGATATATTGTAACAATATTAGTTGAAAAATATTAAAAATACATAGGCACAATTTTTTCTTATAATCATTTAAAGTTCGAATTTTGACAAAATTTATCAAATTTAAAATATAATAAATATTTTGTAATTAAAAATTTATAAAATGTTCAACTTTCATAGTTGAGGATTAAAAATTTAAAACAATGGTCCACGTAAATAGGTAAATATATAAATTACTTTATTCACAATAATATCATCAAATATACTTAGTAATATCATAGGCTGACTGACCGTTTTCGCTTAGAATCGTTTTTCTTATACAATTATATTATATCATTGAATTCAAATTTTACACCATCCATTACAGTGACCCACTTGTTACCTACTGTACAGCAGAGCGACATCCACTTACCCACTTTTTGTTTATTGTGTGACTATATTGATAATTTTGTTCAGCCCCTCCCGAAATAAAATTCTGGATACGCGCCTGAAACAAGTAATACAAGAGATAGTTAGTTTGAACAAAGGGGATTTAAGTTGTGTACACAAAGTCACTGATCGACATCTAAATGCAATTGGATCACAGCAACAAAATGTAAAACTGGCAACACAAGTCTTGTCAAATTCAATGGCCAAAGCAATATCCTATTTAGGGCAAAAAAATTTATTGCAGTTCACTAATTGGAAAGAAGTAAATATATACTAATTAACTACTAATATTACTTATATTATTCCACATTTCTAATATTTTCTAGACATTTAAAATAGACAATTTTTAAATAAAAAAAGAATATAATATTTTTTCTATCTTTTTAGAAATATTTATTTAAAATAATAATTATACTGTTACTATAAGTAATAATTAATAACATATATCTAATTAATACATAGGCATAAACAGTAATTAAACTGTTTAACGATTGGTTTGATTTGTTAAACACACAACTACCAAAAGATAAATTTACATTATCTTATGGACCTGACATCGATAATCAAAATAAAATATTATCTGAAATGAATACATTTATAGAAAGTTTGAGAGTTCATTCCAAAGGTAAATCAACCACAAGTTTAAAGCCATTTCAAAAAGGTAATTACTAAATACATTTCTCCATATATACAAAGATCAATTAAATACAATATAAAAAAGATCAGTAAAATAGAAAATTTTTAAAAAAATATAGGGATATTAATAACAAACACATCGTTAAAGCTTATGTTTGAAGATTTGAAAGAAAGGTATCCTGAAATTAAATATATACTTACAAGAAGAGTAAATCAGGATCTTCTTTAAAATTTATTTAGTGCTTTAAAAAGTATGATGGCATCAGCACCCCTTTAGAGTTCAAGTATTGGTTAGTATGATTTTAATTATCATTGAGTAGTCGACTATAAAACCTAAAAATAAAAAAATGTATTAGTTTACGATGGTATATATTGGGAAAATATTCTGACGCCATAATCATAGAAAATCGAAATACCGAATGCTCTGATGAGGAATGTTTAGTTGATTGTTTGTCAGCAGTTACTATTAATAAGGCTGAAATTAATAGTAATAATAACATGGATGAATGCAGACAAATGTATTTCAATGAAGAAATTGCTACAATAGAGTCACATTTTGGATCAACTGAAACTTTTGATATACCTGAGGAAAATATAAATTTACTACATCAGTTTGAATCATATGTAAATAAATTTAGTTAATATAGTTTATAACACTTACCTATGTGTCCAAATGTACAATTTACCAAACAACCAGTAATGTTAAACTTAATTGTTTTAGGTGAATCCAGTTAATGAGTTAACTGAATTAGAAAAAGACTGCATTGAATATGTAACAAGGTATGTTGCAAGTCGTTATGCTACCGAATATCCATAGCTATGCAATAAAGAAGTTTGTGGCTCTTCATGGATACAACATATTTCAAGAGGAAATTTAACAACTCCATCGCCAATCTTGTTAAAATGTTCAATGATCTTAGAACATCTCTTCAATAATTTTCATGGCAAAGATTGCATAAATAAAGAGCCAAAAGTTATGACAAAGGTCAACAATTTATTGATGAATGAACTACAAAAAGAAAATTTGAATCTACCAGTAAAAGTAGTCGAATGTTTAGTGAGAACACGTACTTTCATTAGATTGAATTATTTAAATAAAATTATTCTTTCAGCAACTGCAACTCAAAAAAACGAAAATTCTAGAAAAGTAAAAAAGTTTCAATAAAATAAAATTTTTAAAATACCTATAATGTAAAATACTTACTTATTTCCTTGTTGTCTTTTCTAATATAATTAAATATTGTTCGATTATTAAATATAGGTACATAACTACATAGGTAAGTAATATTGTTCGTAAGTATTAGTGTTTAAATCATTGATAGATCAATACCATTATTCATCAATAATGGTATTGATCTACTCAATTAGTACTCATTTATAATTTATATTATTAAGCTATAGTTCCACAATGAATTTTAATATTAGAAATTAGAAAAAAAATTAAAGAGGTAAAGTATAAACTACTAAACTATTTTGATAATTCGAAATTGAATACAACAGTTATCACTTATCACAATAACCTAGACAACCAATGAGAAATGGCGAAAGTCCAGCGCCTTGTTTTATTTAGCAATCGGTCGGCGGAATAGGGGAGTATGCGTATCATAAAATGTGCATCATACCTAGTTTATTATATCATGATTCATATAATCTGTGGTACCGGGGTTATCTCGTTTTTGATAATGTGTTTATGTCGGCAGCCGTTCGGATTCTCTGTCCTAATTTACTAATTTCACATTTTCACCTAATTAGTGGTAAGTACATTTTAATGATAAATAATATTATAGTACAAAATTAGGTATAACCATTAGACGATTACGACTTTTGAGTGGGACAAACAGTGTATTCAATTGTCCACCGTTAATATCTATGTCGGAAATTGTTGTCAACGGATTGTTCAAAAAGTGAGCAGTCAACATCAAAACTGTACATCCTCTATCATATATCTATGAATATTAGAAGTTATAAAGCACACATTCATGAATTAATAATGTTACTTGAAAGTATTGAAAATGAATTTGATGTTATTGTACTTTGTGAGACTTGGTTGAAAGAAGAATATAATATACCAATCAAAAACTATCAAGTTTTTCACTCGTTAGGTATAATCAACCATTGTGACGGGGTATCCGTCTTAGTGAGCAATAATTGTAGATTAGATAGTGTTGAAATACAATCTATAAATAATTGTAATTCGATTAAACTAACTGTCAATAAAAATGATTACAATTTTACTGTTACTGGGATTTATAGGTCACAATGCCATAATAAAGATCAATTTATTACCTCATTAGGTGAATATCTGCTAAATGAGAACTTTATAGGTGATCATATTTTATGTGGTGATATTAATATCAATTTATTTGATGACTCAATTGAATCTAATTCATATGTGAACACTCTAGCAAAATTTGGTTATACTTCTGCTATAAATGATTTCAATAGAATTACAGATAACTCTAAAACATGTATTGATCACATTTTCATAAATAATTATTTTAAACTTAATGATAGTCAAAATACTGATTCGGACGCATTAAAAGCGTATATTCTTGAAACTAGTATTACCGATCATTTTAGTACAATTATCACTCTTGAAAAATCAAACTGTAAATCTAATACCAATGATCACCAATTAATAGAACGAAGACGCATAAATTGGAAACGTCTTAACTTCTTAATTACCAGTGAAAATTGGAGTAGACTATATGAAACTAATAACGCTGATGCTGCCATTGAGGAATTTAATTTAACAATTAATAGACTTATTTTATCTTCCTCTAGTACTTTATTAAACAATGAATATAAAAACAAAAATAAAAAAATCAAGCAATGGATTACAAAAGGGCTTATCACTTCAATTAGAAATAGAGAAAAACTATATAATAAATTACGTAAACAACCATTTAATACTATTCTTAAACAAAAATATACAAATTATAGAAATTTATTAAATAATTTAATCAAATTGGCTAGGAATCTCTATTATGAATGTCGCATTAATCTTGCTGGTAATAACTCTAAAAAAGTGTGGAATCTAATCAAAGATGCAGCTGGTATTAAAACAAATAACAAAATAATAGTTTCTAATAGTTTAGACATGATGGTACTAAATTAACTGATAAAAAAGATATTGTGCAACGTTTTAATACGTTCTCTCTAATGTTTGGGCTGATATATCTATGAATATTAAAATGGTAATTTTAATAAAGTTCCATTTCCATTAACTAAATAAAAACTGTTTCATCCCTAACTCAATTTTTTTAAGATCAATTGAACCATCTGAAATTGTCAATTTAATTAATAAATGCAAAAATTTTAACTCCTTTTGTAATAACACTTTAAACAAATACTGTTTAAAAATGACGGCCAAGTCTATCTCTCTCCCTCTATCTTTTTTATTCAACATTTGCATTAATAAGGGTGAATTTCCTAGTCCATTTAAAGAAACAATTGTTATCCCAATTTATAAAAAAGGTGAAAGAAATAAATGTTCTAACTATCGACCTATAAGTCTAACTCTTACTATATCCAAATTATTTGAAAAATGTCTAAAGATTAGGATTGTTGAATTTTTGGATAAGCATAATTTTTTTCATAAGAACCAATTTGGCTTTAGGAGCAATATGTCAACTAGCAATGCTTTATATTACACTACTAAATTTATTTATGATAATGTTGATGATAAACAGAATGTAATTGGTATTTTTCTGGATATAAAAAAAGCATTTGATTCGGTTGACCATGAAATATTACTAAAAAAATTATTTTTATGTGGTATTCGAGGTGTTACTTATAAATTAATTAAATCCTACCTAAAAGGAAGGACACAAAGAGTGAAAATTGATAATAAATTGAGTGATTGTGCTAACATAAATTACTCAGTACCGCAGGGTACTGTACTTGGACCGTTACTGTTCATAATTTATATTAATGGCCTTCTCAATCTGTCCACACAGGCTAAACTGATCTGCTTTGCTGATGACACAGTTATTTTAGTAAATAATCGTAACATTAATGATTTATTTAAAACAGCTGAGAATTGTTTTTCAATGGTTAAAAACTGGTTTGACAATAATTCTCTAGCAATTAACATGGAAAAAACTAAATATATTCACTTTAGAATAAAAAACACTTCTTTTTCTGATGATCAAATAATTAAGGTCCATTCGCATAGCTGCCGTAAAAACATCGACCCAACAATCTTATGCAACTGTTTTACACTAAATCGGGTAACTTCATTAAAATATCTGGGTGTTTATTTTGATGAAAACCTTAAATGGAACATTCATATTAACCATATTAATAACACGATTAAAAAATTTTTTTATATATTCAAATCGCCTAACACATATAAAATTATAAACTTAAAAAGCTAACTTACATTGCACTTGTGCAGTCAATCATCTCATATGGTATTTCTTTTTGGGGAGGTACTTACCATACACATCTTTCTAACCTTGAGGTAACACTTAATTCACTGCTCAAATTCATTTTCAATATACCTTGCATGCATCAAACTTCGAGTTTATATAAAGAGTTAAATATATTAAACCTTAAGTCTTTATATTTTAAAAATATTTGTTTATTAATGTATAGTTTTAAGGAGGACATAGCTGTTCCAAGCCATGATTATTCTACAAGACTAAAATTGAAATCAAATGTCATTATACCAAAAATTAGAACTGTTTTTGGACAGCAATGTCCTCAATTCAAGTTTGTAAAATTTTGTTGTGATCATAATTTAAACGTCAATAATTTTAAAAGTTACTTAAGTTATAAAAATTATATTAATACTCTGTTTTTGTAATTTTTCTTGTTTTAGTTTTATTTAGTCTATCTAATATCTGTTTTTTGTTTTTTTTTTCTCTTACGTTAAAATCTATATCTAACATTAATTACGTTTGTGAACTCTCTCCTCTAGCACAGCCATTGGCTTTTGAGGAGATCCATAAATTTTTAAATTTCAGCTTAGGCTAATACTATTTGTAATCTTATTTGATGGTAATAAACTTATTATTATTATTATTATTATATATACAGTGTGTAATCGGTTGTTGGAAACACTCTGTAACTTTACAAATATTAAATATATTGAATTCTGTTTGTTTGTGGTGCTTAATAAAGTTTTTTATAACTTATTAAGGTAATTAAACAATTTTTATGCTATTTCATTTCGCGCATGCTTATAACAACTTTTTTTTTTTAAATGGCAACCCCACTATTTTTTGGCTAACTATTTTTACTCTTATTTTTTTATGAATTTTAATGGTAAAACCAACTTCCTATGTTAAAGAAAAGCCGAGTTATGGATATTTCGTTGATTGATATTATTTTTTTGACATTTTTGAATTATTCATTAACTTTATGGCTTAAATTTAAATTTTTTAAATTTTTTTATTTTTTAAAAGAAATATACCATCTGTACCCAGAGACACAATAAGGATATGGGCTAATTTACAAAAAGGCGTGAATGAGTTGTTGGAAGAAGCCACCCAGTAGTGACACTTCCTATTGACTTTTATATTTTTATTTATTTATATTTTTTTTTTTTTTTTTTGGTTATTAGTTAAGGAGATCTCTGCACCATTTTCTTTTTAGTCGTCGATGAGGATTACCAGGAATTTCGTTTGAAGCTAATTCACGGATTAATGGATTTGTGTGGGATATGAGACGATCATGGAAACGTTTATAGAAGTGTTTTGCTTCTTCTTGAACAGTTTTTAGACGGAGATCAGTGTGGAGGGTGAGATTTGATATGTAAGGGGGAGAGTTTGTAATTTTTCTAAGTGTAATGTTTTGAAAAGTTTGAATTTTTTTAAGATTTGAGATTTTGGCATTGCCCCAAAGTTGTATGCCATAGGTCCATATAGGTTTGAGAAGGGATTTGTACAATAGTAGCTTAGTGTTTAAGTTTGTGTGTTTATTGTTAAATAAGGAGTGTTTTAAGCATGCCAGGAATTCAGCTGTGAACGTTTAGTTTTAATATGTTGTGCCCAAGTGAGACGGCGATCGAGTGTTAGCCCGAGATATTTAACCGTAGGGGTTGAGGGAATTTGGATGTTATAGAGAGTTACCGCCGGACATTGGGCTTGTTTAAGGGTGAAAGTTGTATGAATAGATTTGGATTGATTGATTTTAAACCGCCATTTCCTGTACCAGTCCTCCATTTGGGAGAGATGATTTTGAAGATAAGTGGAAGCTAAAACAGGGTCTGCGCTAGTTGATATTATAGCTTTGTCATCTGCGTAGTCCGCCACTAAGGTATTGGGCATAGTAGGTTGGTCTGAAGTATAAATATTGAACAAAACTGGGGATAGAATTCCTCCTTGCGGAACGCCAGCTCTAATGCCTGCTATACTAGAATATGCAGATCCATGACGAATTCCAAAGTAGCGATCTTTAAGATAAGATTTAGTGAGAATGTAATGGGGGTATGCATTTCTTAAGTTTGGATAGCAGCCCTTCATGCCGTACTCTATCAAAAGCTTGCGAGATGTCAAGGAATGCGCATGTGCAAAATAACTTTTTTTCTAACGCAAAGGTAATAGCATCAACAACCCTGTGAACTTGATGAATGGTGGAATGCTTGGCGCGAAAGCCAAACTGATTGTCTGGTAATATATTATTTACATTTATGAAGGGAAGAATGCGTTTGAGTATGAGTCTTTCCAGAACTTTGGCAAAAAAGGGGAGCAAGCTAATCAGTCTATAGGAAGAGAGAGAGAGTCAAGGGGTTTGCCTGGCTTTGGAATTAGGATAATTGTAGAAAACTTCCAGATGAGAGGAAAATAGGAGAGCCTCAGAATCGCGTTGAATATATGGGTTAGTAAGATTATCGCACGTTTGGGTAAACATCTAGCCACTTCGGCTGTGATAAAGTCGAAACCCGGAGATTTTTTGAGTTGGTATTTTTGAAACGTGAATTTGACGTCATTTGGTGTGAAGTGTTTCTCTGGGAGGGTAAGTGGAAGTGGAGAGTTGAGGAAAGCTTGGACAGTATTTACGTTTTCAGGTTCAATTATATCTGGGTGAGGTTGGAAGATTTCGTAGAGATGATTTTTAAATAATTCAGCTTTCTCGAGATCAGTTGAAGCAAAACTGCCGTCAGTTTTCCTTATTGGAGGGATTGCAGGATTATGCTGAAGTATTTGCTTGGTTGTTTTCCAAAGACTTCCATCTTTTGTCGATAGGTTGGATAGGTGATTCGCAATAGAAAGGGATTTGTTTTTTGCTAGAATTTTTTTAAGTGAGTTGGCCAGACTATTATATTTTTGTTTGTGAGATGGGAGGTGGGTTCGTTGATAGAGAGCTCTGGCTCTCCGTTTTTCAGCTATGAACATACGTATGTGATTTGGTAGTGGGAATTTGTTTTTGGAGAGCAAGTTTGCATTAGCAACTGAGTTAGAGGACCTGGCCGCGGATTGAATTAGATTTGTGAGCAGGGGCGGAGTGGCCGGTCTGGAAATGGGAATTTTCCAGATGGCCTGGACCATACTATGGCCTGGTGGCCTGGCCATTTTGTTAGATTTTTTTTTTAATTAAAATTAATTTACAAAATATTAGTTAATGCTAAATGCATCAAAAATTTATTTCTATTAAATTATTGTATTACAAATATTATTAATGAAATAATAGTAAATTGTAATAGCCTCGTACAATCGTATACTCTTATGAGAAATCTTTGGATAAAAAATTACAAAATATTTGGTACATAAAAATAGATATCAAATAAAATCAAAGCAATATAATATTTATATGGGTCGATTATTTTTATAAAAAAACACCCAGATAGTGTGTGGTCTCGGTTCAATCCAACAGAACTAATTACCTACTAAGAAATTATAAATTACTGATTCGACGCATTTCCGCATGTTGAAACCTGCAAGTTGTTTATTTGTACCCTGTAGGGCTGTTGAGTGGCGACGAATATAGCAATGCCAAATGGCTAATAATAACTAATAATACCATTGATTATAAGTACTAATAATGTCTAATACATATTAATTTTGTATTATTGGTCACTTTACTTTGGTCATTGTTATTTTTATAAAGAATATCTGTAATAAACCCAAACAAATTAGTCATTAGTGTTTGATATTTGTCCCCTGGTCACTGGTGTTGAGTGTGTCGACGGTGTCGTTTATGGTGTATCCACGTTTTTCCTTTTAAGTAATTTTGTGTACCTTAAAAGTATTTTATTTACTATTTAGTTAAATGTTCTAGTTTACTAGTTATGACTTATGTTGGGATTATTTTTAATTTTAAAAAAAATTGAACAACTTATTATTATTTAAATTGCTCATAAATAAAATTAAGAAAATATATAAGAATTTCCAACACATTTGTAATAAATGTAATTAATTTGCCTAGTGCATTTCCTCATTGATAATTTATCTTGCTCTTATATTTCAATATTTTGAATAAAATGTACTTGTATTAATTTAATTTAACTTTTTTCAGATCAAACATCAAACAGTAATAATTTAGAATCTAAAATCTCTATAGATTGTGATAATGTTTTCGGATTTTCAGGTATCAGTACTTAGTGGTATATTAATACAATGTGTTAGAAGACAGAAGTTAAAAGAAATAGCAAGATAGTGATTGAAATACTTTTCTAATACTGAAAGTAATTTTGGAATAGGTAAATATAAAAAACCAAATTCGAGCGTAGCGAGAAACAAAAAATTTGGTGGGTGGCCTCACTGGCCTGGATAAATTTTAAACTCCCGGCCTGGATTTGGTTCCCACTCCGCCCCTGTTTGTGAGACTATTTACAGCTGAATCAATATCGTCATTCGTTTTTAATTTAACATTTAGTTTGATTGTCTGGTTAACTATATCATGGAATTTGAAGCGATCAGTGGAGGTATTAAAAAGGGTAGGAGGTGTTTCATGAGTTGAGGGGTCGTCATTAATCGTAAGGAGAACTGATGAGTGATCTGAATTTAGATCAAGGATATTATTAGTAGTGCAGTATAAACTAGAGGGCATTTTCGCGACAAATATATCGAGAATATCCGGACTTTTTTGAGGGGAGGTAGGCCAGTAGGTAGGACCTGGGGGAGCTAAAATTTTGAAATTTTTTGTGGATACGAAGTTGTGAAGGACAATACCTCGCGGGTTATTTACGCGGCAACCCCAATTTTGATGTTTTTGCGTTGAAATCGCCACCAATAATAAAATTGTTATTGATTGTTTTGAAATAATTCGCGAAATGTTCACTATTGAGATTGTGTCTCGGGGGAGAGTATAAAGCTGCAACCGTTATAGGGATATTGTTAAGATGAATTGTTACGGCACAGGATTGAAGAAAGTCTTGGCAAAAATTGGGGAGGGCTTGAAATGCTATTGTTGATTTTATAAGAATGGCTACTCCACCATGAGCAGTGTTGTCTGGGTGATTTGTTTTAAGTAGTTTGTAACCTGGAATGTAAATTTGTGAGTATTGGGTAAAATGGGTTTCTATTATGAGGGCCAGGTGAATTCATTTATCATATAGGACAGTTTGTAGTTCGTTTACGTGGTTTTTTAAACCAGTTGCATTGAACAATAGTGTTAGGAGGGATTTATTTGTGAAAGCATTATTCATTTTTTTTTATCTAAAAGACTGGAAATGACTTTCGTGAGAAGAGAGATTAGAGGATTTATAAGAGTTTTGAAATCTTCTAGGAAATTTATAATGGTAGAATTTATATTAGGGGCTGATTCAGGTGTCGGAAGGTTTTGTGATTGGCCTGCAGTAGCCTGGGCGTAATATGGTGAGAGGTTTGGAGGAGTACCATTTTCTGGGTGGCTAACTTGTACATTATGAGACTTATATCTAACATTATCTGATATGAAAGCATTACTTGCGACTGGTTTCTTGCGGCGCTGGAGTTTTTTATAAACGCTGCAACCTCTGTAGTTAGCCGGATGGTCCCCAGAGCACAGCGCGCTTTGGCTGGTGAATCTCGAGGTTTGGAGCATTCTGAGGATGGGTGGAAAGCACTGCAACGAACACAGCGAGCAGAATACCCGCAATGGGCTCTTGTGTGGCCGTACTCCTGGCAGTTGAGGCACTGGCTTATAACTTTAGGCTTATATGGTTCCTCGACTTTGACTTTGGTATGCAGCAGAGAGGAGAGTTTGAAAATATCGTTCGAATAGTGAGTTGGTTCAAGGTCAACGAAGAAAAGAGGTAGTGGGCATTTGCTGGTCTTATGTAGTACGTTTGTGACTTTCCTTACCTCGAAAAGACGCAGTTCTAATTCGCTTTTTATAAGATCTGTGGATGTAGTCGGGTGGAGGTTACGGATAACGGCACGCGTCGGCTTATCTTCTTTGAGTTGAAATGTGTGATATTGGGCTTTTTTTTCCTTTAAACAATGGATGAGTGTTCTGTAGGATTGAGGGTTGGAGGTTTGAATTTTTAAGCTGTCAGTTGAGGATTTGCAAACAAAGTTATCTACTCCAATTATCTCAATTAAAGTTGAGCCTAGGTCTGGAAAGTTTATTACACCTTTTACAAAAATTGGCGGTGGTAGTATAATTTTGTCTGCAATGATAGGTGTTTCAGGTATTTCAGGTGGTGAGTTGATTGGTGAGTTGGTGGATTCAGTTTGCGCTAGCGGTTCGTACCGATTTGCAGTTATAAATAGTTTTTGAATTTTTTTGCTTTGATCATGATTCGGAGAGCTCGGGTTTGAGGAAGATGACAGATTCCTTTTACCGGGATTTGTTGTCCAGTCTGAATTTGAGGGGGAGTTGGACGAGTCATATTCAAAAACCGTGTCATTTGAATTTGTGGTGGATTTTTCATGGCGAGCTGCCTGTATAACGTTTTTAGAATTTTTACTATTTTTACCTTTTCCGGTTTGCGGTGTAGTTTGAGAGTGCGGCATATTATCTCAGGGCAAAGGTCGTGGGACGCTGCCCGTGACAGCGATAACGCGACGACTATTATTTAACAATGATTGTATTTTTCATACAGAATTTTTGGTTAATTTAAATGTGAATGTACACAGTTAACGCAATTTACGGGTTGTAAGTTTGAATTCACTTTGATTAATTGATAGCAATTTCCATTTGTCTATTTGTACATATTAAATTTGTCACATTCGAACTGAAAAAATAAGCGTGAACGAAACAATTGACGGAGCGTAATTAATTACGTGCACGCCGAACAAGGTACAATCCGCGACTGAAATTTAAATTTAAATTTAAAAAAAAAAAAAAAACATGTTAATAAATTTTATTTTTTTTAGTTCAAAATTACATTTATTCATTATCTTATAAATTGTTCAAACCCAATTATGGGTACGGGTTTTCTCCATCATTTCACAACTGTTCAACTGTTCTTATCTGAATTATTAGGTAATTTAGATACGATCAAACAATTCATATCAAATAGACCAGTGCAACTATTATTGTTTCGTATTTGCTTTACAGTCGTATTTTATGAATTCACTCGTGTTTATTAAACAATAGTTAAGTTACATTAAATAACTTTATAATTGAGATACCTTGTAGTTTAAACAAAATATGAATAATTCAGAAAAAGTTTATATGCTTTTTGTTTACGTCGTTAAATTCACGTCAGGCTGCACGTGCTTATGTTGAACGTTACCCAAGTACCTATGTATTTATTATTAATTAGTACTTTTAATGATTTTTTGTGTTGATGGTGAAAATAACAAAAAATGTTTTCGTTTTTCTAAATTCAGATAGCGAACACCCGTCACATAGTTATTTTCATAAGTTAGAAAGGGATTTAAGAAATACTGGTTCTTTTTCTAATATAAGAGTTATTGCCAACCAACAACCTAGACAAGTTAATGTATTAGGGGAAGATATTGAGCTTCAAGTGTTGGCATACGTAAGAGCAAATCCTAGAGTTAGTACGCATCATGTTGGCTTTGAAATAGGTATTTCTCATAATGCCGTTCATAAAATTTAAAAAAACATAAATTTTATCCATACAGACCTGATATAGTGCAACAATTACGCCAAGGTGATGCTGAGCGTAGGATTATGTTTATTTCTTGGTTGGTAACTCAATTAGAAGACAATCCTATTATTTTAAATTACATATTATGGACAGATGAATCCAAATTCACCAACAACGGAGTAATAAATAAACAAAATAATCGTTATTGGGACACTCAAAATCCCCATTGGGTTTTTGAAACAAATAATCAATGTGTCTGAGGAACAAATGTTTGGTGTGGTTTGATTGGAGGTAAATTGTTGGGACCTTATTTCTATGACGGAACATTAAATGGAAGACGGTATTTAGAATTTCTAATTAATGAGCTACCGATCATGCTAGACGATATTCCTCTTGCAACAAGAAACCATTCGATTTTGCAACAAGATGGAGCCCCAGCACATAATGCAATCGTCATGAAGAACTATTTAAATGAACATTTTGAAAATCGTTGGATAAGAACTAATGGTATAATAAAATGGCCACCTCGATCCCCAGATCTTACACCCCTTGATTACTTTTTGTGGGGACATCTAAAAACTATCGTCTATGGAAACCCACCTACTAATCTTATTGATTTGAAACAAAAAATAATTGTGGCGTGTAACCAACTTACTAAAGGGCAAATTTCATCTGCAACAAATAAAGAATTTCTACGGAGGACAGAAGCATGTTTAAATTATAATGGAGAGCAATTTGAACAATTTATAAGATAATGAATAAATGTAATTTTGAACTAAAAAAAATAAAAATTATTAACAGTTTTTTTTTTTTTTTTAAAAACGCCTAAGAAGACGAACTTAAAAAAATTAGTTGCTATAGGGGAAGAGGATCCTTTCAAAAGTAGGTACTAAAAATATCACTAGAAGATATCATGATGTGCTAAAAATTTAAGCCATAAAATTGATGAATAATTCAAAAATGTCAAAAAAATAATATCAATCAATGAAATATCTATAACTCGGCTATTTTTTAACATAGGAAGTTGGTTTTACCATTAAAATGCATAAAAAAATAAAAGTAAAAATAGTTATCCAAAAAGTAGTGGGGTTGCCATTTAAAAAAAAAAAGTTGTTATGCGCATGTGCGAAATGAAATAGCATAAAAATTGTTTAATTACCTTAATAAGTTATAACAAACTTTATTAAGTACCACAAACAAACAGAATTCAAATATATTTAATATTTGTAAAGTTATAGAGTGTTTCCAAAAACCGATTACACTTTTTTAAACTAACGGAGCTACACGTGTTCTGCTTTGAGAAGAATTTGCTATGTTACGCACTTGTAAGACGGAGACAACACATGCGGGTATCACAATTTAGTTTAGGCAAATTGAAATATTGTTTTACTTTTAAACTTTGAGAATTTATCATACCTATTAGCTGCTGTTATTTTAATGTTGTCTTTTTCGTTAGAATTTTTTTTTTTTTACCATTTAATATACGATTAACTTCCACACACCAGTGGTTTGTTAATAATTTAATGGACAAATTTAAAATTTTGTTTTCAAAATGTTCAGAGTGAATTGGACAGTTTATTATGTTTAGATTAAATTGTTCTTGAATTTTAGAAATTAAAACTAACTTATAATCTAACCGATGACATATTGAAGGAAGTTGTAAATATATAAGATCAGTTATACCCTGTATTAAACGACAAAAACTAACATTTGGATACTTGAGGTTAAGTTGTTTATTGTATTCTCTTGCTATCATGAGATCATGAGATTTACCAATGCTATAAGTACAAATCTGGCCTATACATATCTTACAATTTTTAAACAGAATTGTATTTAATTTTTTAATTATAAATCCAGCAATATAATTTTGGGTTTGAAACTTTAAGTATGATACCTCAGGTGTACATACAGACTTATTTTTTACTAACCCATCAGCAACTCTAGGTTCATGATATATGTTTTGTGTATCATCATTATTTATCTTAGAAAACAGTAAATTATATGAAGCCAGAGCACCTTCTGAGAAGTCTTCTTTACAATTGCTTCCAACCGACTACAATGTTGTTAAATTATTTAGCATCAAAGTTTTGTATGCTGAAGAAAACCCCTAAGTTTATGGATTATTGGAACGATAACCAAGACTCCGAATCACACCAAAGAAATTTTCGATTGGATCTTGGTTGAAGTTGCGAAGCAATAAGGAATGTACACCGTATTCTGCCATTACTTTGTATATGTTTTGAAAACCTAGAAAAATAAATTACATCGGAATATCATCAAAATTCTCCATTCTAATCAGTGGTGTAGTGGAGGGTACACGCGGGTACACGGCGTGTAGGTACTCACCTCCCAATTTAAGATTAATGCGTGTACCCTTAACAAAAATCGTGGTTCGCGGGTACACGGACCATGAACCATACGTATAAGCGTTACCTAGTCAATACAATTTATTTAGGAAATATTATTGGGTAATGTAATATATTAAATTTTGATATTTAATAACAAAAAAAAAAAAATAAGTGTAATTACTAATTACTAATTTGTTTACTATTGTCATAGAACAATATAGATATAGAAGCGAAACTCGATCAGCTGATTTACGTTTACCTACTAAATAAATTATGATCTGAAGTCTGAACCTAGGAAACGACTAAACGAGCCCGACAGCCCATAACCAACATGATGTTAGATCCTTGTTTACCCGTATTCAGAAAACGTTGGCGCGGTATGCTACGCGGGGTCGGCTCTTTTACCATCGTGAAGCGTCCGTCCAACGCGTACACAGATCTATTTTTAAATCATTAATTGGTAACTTTTACATTATTGTTGTTTTGTCCAGTTTCCAGTTATCAGTTATCGTTTCAAATATCTATTACAAATTACAATAAAATTATATCATATCCCTGCAGTGGTTGTCGGTTATAAAATAATATTATTATTATTATATTATATTCTTATTTTAATATTCTATGAGTAATAATTAATAAATACCGTGTTAAGTGTTAATGAATTATTAATGAATATTATACTCATACATTGATATAAATATTATCTAACTATCTTGCTCACAGTGTTATTAACAGTAGGTACACAACTATATTATGTCTAATGTCTATATACTGTTGACTCTTGACTGCATGTCTGCATAGTGCATATATGTGTTGTGTACTTGTATACAGACTACAGAGTACAAAATGGAAAAGTTTCTAACAAAAACGACCAAAGTAAGAATATTTTAATTATTTATTGGTATGGCATCATGTTTTTTTTTATGTTAAAAAGCATATTTTTATTTTAATTGGTCTCTACTACTTACTAGAGAGCCTAGATAATAAAGGCTCTCTATATAGTCTCTACTATCTATTTTCTTCAACGTAATTAGGTAATTAACTGTTACTAGACAGAATCTACTACCTACCTATTTTAGAAATGTTGAGTTCTAAAAAATATGGTTGGTTAAATATGATGGATCATAGATACCTAAATATGATTTTTACAAAAGTTGTTTTGAATTCTAACCTAACCTTTTTTGTGTTTAGGTTAAATGTAGTAGTAATAATTCAGATGTTGAAGATGATCCATCACCAACGAAAAAGTCTAAAGAAGTAAGTTGTTTTTCTGTACTATTTAGGTATCTTAATATTGTTGAACCAATTATTAACAAGCAACAAATTTAATCTTGGTAAATAATAATCAAATTTAAATTATTTAAATTTTTCAACTATTCCATGAGTTTTGAAGCTATAATTATAATATTAATTGTCTGCATAAAATAATATAATTTATGCTATATGGAATACGTTTACTGATAACTAGTTCTAAATTTATTTTTATTTTTCAGGTATGCGATAATACAATTCAACTGGGAATCAAAGTACCTTGGCCATCAGAATGGTCTTATAATCAATGGGTTGAAAAAAAAAAACAAATACCCTTAGCTATTTATTTAGAGTTATGTTTTGAATTTTTTTAGTGGATTATGAGTTTAAAATATACCCATCATAATTTATGAGGTTCTATTGTATATAGTATATTATATAGACAAATAGATGAAGTATTATTCAGTTGTGTACTGCCGTCTATCGTGGAAGGTTGTACTGTTCGATAACAATATTTATATGCTCTCTTATCCCCGTTTTCATTCGCAAAAGTACCTAACTAACTATCTATACGAAATACGTAATGTTGTGTTTTATTTGCATTGAAGACATTCCTCAGGGCGATGACATCAAGTGTTCTAAATGCAACGAGTCTTTACATTTCAGTTGCGCAGGCCTCCGAGATGCGAATTTTAAAAAAATGTCGGTCGCTCAAAAAAAAATATGGACTTGCTCAAAGTGCAAAACAAAAAAGTTGGTAGTGACTCCTGTCATGCCGGGAAAATCTCAAACAGTCACTGATGAAACACTGAAAAGTGTTGTTGATTCGGTGAACTTTTTGAGTTCTCAGTTTGATGATTTTAATAATCAGTTAAAGCATTTGTTCTCAACTATAAATGATTTAAAGTGTGAAAACAAAAGAATCACAGAAGAAAATCTATTTTTAAAGAAGGAAACCGAAAATTTGTCGGGGCGTTTAAATAAACTTGAACAAAAAACTTTAGAGTGTCAGATAGAAATTGTAGGTGTACCCGAGACTAAAAATGAAATTTGTTCAAACACTATTCAAACTATTATAAACAAACTGGGTACTGATGTTACGGCTCAATACGCTTTTCGACTACATTCAAAATTTCCGGATAAACCAAGAATTTTATCTGTGTGTTTTAACACGGTGAATGAAAAAATCAAAGTTATGGAATTAGCGAAAAAACATAAACTAGTTGCAAAAGACTTGGACCCAACTTGGAACGAATCTGCTGTATATTTCAACGACAAAATGACCTATACATACAGAAATCTATTTTTCAAAGCGAGAACTGCAGCTAAACAGGTTGGTTACAAATATATTTGGTTCAAAAACAACACAATTTTCGCTAAAAAAAATGATACTTCAAAGCCAATTATTATTGATGATGAAATATCTATATCTAAAATTGTATAACTTTGAGTTTATTTTATTTATTTTAGTTTTTCTTTTCTCCAAATGACTGATATAATTATTGATGTAATTGAAAAATTTAATAATTATAACACTAGATATTTTGATTCAGTAACTGACTTTGTAAATAATTTTAATCTTAATAACAACGAAACCAACTTTTTTAATGTAATGTGTACTAACATACGTAGTGTAAATGCAAATTTTGACGAACTCCTGTTATATTTAGAAAATGACTATAATTATAAAAAAATTGACATTCTCATTTTAACTGAAACATGGCATAGTGTGGAAAACTGCGTGTTTACAATACCCGGTTATAACACATATTATTCATCCACTAAACGAAACCAAAATGATGGGGTAATAGTGTTCATAAAATGTGCCATATCGGTAATTTTATATGAATTTGGTTCTGTAGATAGCAACATCTTAAAACTGTCACTATGTATTAATAATACGCCTTTGGTATTTTACTGCGTTTATAGATCGCCTGCAAGTAACACTAACGATTTTATCGTAAACTTACGTAATATTTTTGATAAAGAAATTTCAGATAAGGGCTATTCCTTCTTAATTGGAGATATGAACATAAATATTATAGAGAATACAAATAATGACTATTTAGACATGTTAGCCGAACATGGTTATAAATCATATATAAACATATATACTAGATTACCTCCAAAAGGAAATTACTCGTGTTTGGATCATA